TAGCCAATAGCGTTAGTTTATATCACAGCTTGGGCTAGAGCCGTTTAGAGCCGTTGAGCTCCGTAAAGCCACATTTGACAGAGTATGCCAGCCACAATCTTATCCAAATTGCTATAAGATATAGCGTTCTGTGTAGAATACAAATAGCTCCGATACATGTAGTGGTTTGTGGCGACTTGCGCATGTGATCCGCTCCATGCTATCGTGTCTCTGGACCGGAACAGAGTGTGTGTGCGGTGCTTAGCGCCAAACCAGATTTCTTTTTTTCCTCAATGGAAAGCATATTTACACTGTTTGAATCGTTCCCAGTCCCCTATACAGTGCACTACGTGCCATTCACTGTACAGAAAATACTAATTCTGTGGACAAGTGACCGATTTCAGCCACGGCTTCAGCGTCTATTTTATAGTGTAGGGGCGGGCGCTTCGGATTCTAGAGAGCATTTGATTGGACAGAAAGTTTGATGAGAAGCTGAAATACGATGTGACGTCAAAAAAAATCGTTGAGTCATTTTGGCGGAAGTGACGAACTGCAAGCTTTGAATGCTTATATCTTCTAAATGCGAATTTTGTCACCGTTTTGGAGCACACTGCCTTATAGATAACCTTAAGACTAACATATTGATACTAACACCCAAAAAACTTTAATTTTGATTTCATGGGGACTTTAATCATTAGATCAATGGGCTCCGTCAGTGCTTTGGCAAGGTAACGCTTTTTCTTTTGCCATGCAATAAAGCCAAGTTCAAAGGCCAATTTAAAATATTGGTACAATAAAAAGTGCACAAAATCAGTATTTTGTTTAGGCATCATGTTGCGAGATTTGTCCAAAAGGTGTGCATTTTTGCGCCAATGCATTGTTAAAGGATCAGCGTGTTGTGTAATATTCCCATGTAAACTTAACAGCCAATTAAAAAATATTGGTATAGTAAAATTCGCTAATTCCCAAGATCAATACATCCTTTATTAAACCGCTTTGTCGAATTTAACGCATCCTTACGGAAGTGTCGAAATGCTGAATCAATTCATTCACTTCTAACAGCGCTTAATGGGACCAGCGTCATACACAGATTGCAGAGCGTCGCGTTATTTAAAGGGGAAGTTCACGCGTTGTCAATGAGTAGCAAAGAAATAAGTAGCTGCATTCTGATTACTTTTATGCCACTGATCAGGCTTATATGTAGTTACGGTGGCCGAGAGAGCTCAACGTGCTGCAAATAGAAAAAACACGAATAAGTAGCTGCATTCTGATTACTTTTATGCCACTGATCAGGCTTATATGTAGTTACGGTGGCCGAGAGAGCTCAACGAGCTGCAAATAGAAAAAACACCTGCAAATTAAGAAAACAACTTCATCAATTTGACAACACACGCGCTTCAAATGCTCCCAACACAACCAAACAAAGAAACTCGCTGCAAATAAAATTCTTTATTTGTTTGCGTTGTGAGCATTTGCAGCACCTGCTGTCAAACTGATGAAGATGTTTTCTTGATTTGCTGGTGCTTTTTCTATTTGCATGTGTTTTCTGAAGTTGCAGCACATTGAGCTCTCTCGGCCACCGTAGGTTTTATAGGTTTGACTGAAATAATAATGCAACAACTGACACTTTAAATCAATGTTTCAAGCAACAACAACAAAATTGAACAAAAAACAGATTAAGACAAAAAGTAGCCACTGATAATATCTAAACGTGTATCCAAATGTAATAAAATTAAAATTATGTGTAAATTATGTGCAATGTTTTAGCTACTAGGGATTGTTACATAGGGCTATACAGGCATCTAGTGGCTACACAATGATATTACAGATAATAAATTGTGCAAATTTACAAATAATGCATTCAGATTTGTGAAACTCCCAATGCAGCTGAATCGCCACAAATTAGTGTCGTTACTATGACAACCAATTTGAATGTGACAAGAAACTGGTGTCTGAAAAGAATATATATGTATATGTATATATAAACATATATCTATATATCTATATATATTGCTAGAAACGGCCCTGGGAACACAAAACAGAAATCAGCCACAGCCTCTCTTAGCAGTTATTTAATACTTTTTGGAAAACATCGCAGTACCACATCAGGGCTAAAATGACCCTTATTTCAAATACAAAAGTAACAGCAAAAAAACAAATTTTTTCTACAAAAGATACAAAGATTTTGTGGAAAATGTCAAATAAAACATTTGTTTCTTATCAAATATCATTACACATACAATAGAGAGCTAATAAAGACAACTGTGCTGCAGAAGCAAGGAGTTTAAAACTTTCGCATTCGATTTATCGTCTTACAAAATCACATTGTTCTCAAAATGGAAACACTGAAGCCCAAAGTATGCTTTAGTTTTGATGAGAAAGAAAATGTGTGCGAGCACAGGCAGTTGACGCATGTGCCATCAAAGCTATTTTCCCCAGATGACCAAAAAAGTTCCCTGTACTCTTTAAAACTAGAGGTTAATCATCTTTAATTGGCCTGTTTAGCTAAGCCATCGTTAGAACAAACCAAACAAGCCCTGAAAGTTGATAAAAGAACACGTATCATAGAAACACGCAATATTAAATTGTATTAGATGTTTGCATTTGACAGATTATACATGTATATATAGCTTTGTTTCGCCCATCAGTAAAAACCCAAGTATACTTAAGGCTTTAGGAAGCTGAATTTAAAGGTTCACTTTATTGTGCATCCATCTGAGAAAACATCATAAGAATCTCGATGTGTTTATCTCTCCACAATATTATAGTATCAGGAACAGTATCACTTTAATTCGAAGGAGGACAGGAGTTAACACAAGCCGTCTTTGTCACCTGCTCTGTGCAATGCAGCTCCGGCTCTGTTTAACTAGCTTTATGAATCTAAAGTACCTCTCATCTGTTTCTCACATAACCCCTTTGTAACCCTAATTGAAACCGAATTGATGTCCTGATGTAAATGTGATGTTATGTTACATATTGTTGGTTTTATTGACATCCTTACGCAGTTTAAACTCTGACTGATCGATTACATGAGAGTAAGAGTAATTTCTGTAAGTTATACTGATTCTTTCAACATACATTCTGAAGTCCATTAATGTTTATTTTGTGCTAGAGCTAAAGAAAAGAGATGATCGTTTCACGTGCCGCTTGAACTGTTGTGCATGCTTCTGTTACAGAGCACCAAAACGGTATTTATTATCAATTTTGAAACCGAATTTGAAAAGGTGAATTCTATGAACGAAATAGACACCAACAGTCAAAGCGCCAAAATGTTGTAATTAGAACGTTATTTAAATTACAAATCTTGTTAATACAGCATTCTCCTAATCTTATTTTAATCTAACATCCTTTGAAAGTTTATTTGTAATATTCCAAGAACATTAGCATTCAGAAGATATCAGTAAGATCATAAGGACATTCTGAGAATGTTTTTATTTTACTTTTATCTTAACATTTGCATAACCTTTACAAAACATTAAAGTAAAAGGTAACATATTCAACGATGCTGTCTTGCCGTGCAGATTTACCTGACTGTTGCTGGACTGATTGGTGCTGAATTCTGAATATCTCTTCTGCTTAAGTGAGCAGATCCTGCTAATCAGCTTGCAATACTCGTCTCTGACCTGAAGGGGGTGGCACAAAACACGTGAAAACACACCGAAGGCTCTTGGGCAGAATGCAGTGAAATGATTTATGAGGGAATCGGACGTCTGTCTGTTTGACTAGATCTTTGCCATTTAGCTTGAATCCAGACCATAACTGTGTTTTCCATTTTGTTGCATTGGTGTGTGTTATAAATACCGGTTTGGACAGGAGGCAGTGCATGATGAAGATGAGCGCCCCCTGGAAGCTGTTCAAGATGGTGAAGACATACAACGCAACCTGAGTTCCTTTCTCCTGGAAGAGGAAGCAGCCGAAAACCCACATCCCTCCAAGAACACACATCTGAGCCACGGCGGCCACCGTAAACCCCCTGAAAGTCACCAGAAATGGGTTAGACTCAATGACTGAATCTATTTTGGACTCATATATTAACCCTCTGGGCCTCTTCGGTCATTTTTGGCCGAAAAAAAATATTATATTTTGAAAAAAAAAAAATCGTGGCTCCATCGGAACGAGATGACACTTGGTGACTTTTGTCACATTAGCTATGTGAACACACACAAAAATCATGGACATGATTCGGATATGTTAAAAAAGTCACACACGGCTCCTTCGCGGTCAAAAATGACCGACATAAGAAATAAATGGGAAATTCGAAAAAATACGAAAACTCTGAGAATCTTTTGGTGGTACAAACTACAAATCAGCCACTGTGCAGACCAAAAGTGCACAGCAATCAAGGGGTGACTCTCTAAAATATCAAGAGTTCAAAATATACACCCACGCACACACACACACACACAGAAATGAACTGGTAAGACTGCAACAGAGCAAATTCTGAGAATATTCTATGATTGTTTGAAACCATAATGCAAAACCTGATATTTATCTAACCAAAAATATCTAAACCTTGACAAAAAAAGTAGTCTTTTAGAATTTCTAAATATATATCTAAAAGTAAAACCTAATAAAATGAAGAAATTGTGTCTAAAAACAATGGGAATCCAAAGGCCTCTGCGTAGATGTATATAACTATACAGGAGTTAACAAGACATTACACATTACAAGTTTTTATTTTTTTATACCACCAGATGACACAATTCTCACCTTAAAAAATTTATTTTAAATGTTTTCACTCTGTTTTAACATGAAATCTTGCATTTATTGAAAAATAATTAAATAAATATATATTAATTCTAATGGAAAAAATAGCTCATTAAAATTTTATAAATATTACATAGTATCATAAAATCCCCTCAAAATTCTAAATACTAATAATCAAAAAATATTATTAAACAAAAATGTATTGCACTGATGTTCCTGAAAAAAAAAAGTTGCATTTCAAGACTTCGGTCACTTTTGACCGCGAAGGAGCCAAGTGTGACCCCTAAACAAAGAGGCCCAGAGGCATAAACACTCACCTGATGTTGCGGAGTTTGGAGAGGTCTGGATTGAGGCTGGAGAACTTTTTGGCCAGTTTCCACACCGTGATGATGAAGACAAAGCTGTTGAGGACGACGATGATGCAGACTGGCGCAAAAAAGCTCCATATGAAATAACGGTCCAGAGAAAGCCAACAGCTGGAACAAAAACACACAAAATAATCATCAAACAGCTGGAAACCACTCAGATAACACTGTGATTTAGAGGCTGTCATGAAAAGCTGAAACACAAACAGCGCTTCACGCATATTTACTCACTGTCTATCGGTGCCGTATCCCTTTGGGAAGGCGATGGCAGAGACGGCAACGATAACGAGAGGGACTCCGTATCCCAGCAAATACATGTAGAGATGTTTTAATGTGGTGTGAAACACCAGCACAACCATCCGGTAGAGCTGAACCCCCTCCAGCAGCATCCAGCAGAACGCAGACAAGAAGAAGAAATGAAGCAGACCGGCCACAATCGCACACGCTACCTGAGACGAACAGAGAGAAACCGCACAACTACATGAGTAACGTTTGTAAACAAACACTGATGTTGGCACAAAAAAAACCACAAAAGTTTTCACCCCCCTCAATGAAAACTTATGGGATTTTTTTTGCACTTTGGATCATCCGGTTTACAAAAACCGTACGTTAGATTAGTGAGAAAAAGATACAGCGACCCGGGTTGGACCAGTCTGAAGGACTGACCTGAGTTCGGTGGTTGTAGCTTAAAAACTCTAGGAGGAGACACAGTCCAAATTTAGTCTCAGAAATAGAGGCTTAAATAATAGATCAGTATCTTGGCTTTGTCAAGCCATCATAATAAACAGTAAACACTGCTTGCGATTATACAGATGGCCCCCATATACAGAAGATATAAGACACACACCTGATTGTGAGTGCTGGAGATCCCACTGAGGAAGACGAGGTCTGCAATGAAGAGACAGATGCTCAGATGAAGATGAATGCTGGTCCGGGTTCCTTGGATGGAGCGGCAGAACTGGAACGTCAGGATACAGAGAATGTTCCCTGTTAGCTGCAGTTACTGCACTCAAACACACCTGATTGTGAGTGCTGGAGATCCCACTGAGGAAGACGAGGTCTGCGATGAAGAGACAGATGCTCAGATGAAGATGAATGCTGGTCCGGGTTCCTTGGATGGAGCGGCAGAACTGGAACGTCAGGATACAGAGAAACAAACAGACCAGAGACAGAACTAAACCCACACGTGTGATCAACACCAACTCAAATGCGTCCTGGAAGAGAGGAAGAGGGAAAATCATCAAAATTTCATCTAGAATCTGAATTAAATATGTTAAATCCCCCCCCGTCTGGCTCAGAGATGTACCTGGACAGGATAGAGAGCCATTAACACAGCGAAGCTACTGAGATGAGAGCAGGAACACACTGTGTGAGTGCTGTTAGACTCCGCCCTCTCACAGCCCCGCCCAGACCACGCCCCCTCAGACTCATCCCAGTACACACAGGAGTAAGCCACGCCCCCAGACTCCGCCCTCTCCTGAAGAAGAATGATTGACAGTTCAGTAAAGGTAAAAAATACATGAATGTTTGATTTTCTGCACATGAAATGTGTGTGTCTCCAGAGAGATGTTGTGCTGGTCATAAACTGGTCTGTCAGTATCTTCACCTCCACGTGTGTAAAGACGAGCGTCACCGGCTCTGACAGCTGCTTGGTTTCTGCATTACTGACGACGGCCGTCACCACTTTAGAGTTGAGTTGATAAGTGACGCTTCTCTCTTTATCGTCTGATCTCTCGCTGCTCATCTTGTGGAGCAGGTCACTGGATGAGTTCAGATCTTTATAACTGACCAGAGCCGCAAACGCAAAACCTGTGAACAAGAGAACATTTACATCTCGTCATGAAAGTGCGGATGCAAATACATGTAAATATTTTCAAAATATATTCTGTATGAGTGTATTTATATATACATAATAAATATACACAGTACACACACATCTTATGTAAACAAAAACTTATTTTGGATGCGATTAATCGCTTGATAGCACTAATTTGTAGACATTTTATAATTCCTAGTCATATTTTATACATTTCTGTAGAATCATAGATTCATATTTAAAATTCTAATCTGTAAATGCATTTTAGTACGGCAGGAAACAATCTCTTTAAAATCCAGTGTAAAGGCCTGTTCACACCATGGAGGATAACTATAACGATAACGATACAGATATAGTTCTAAAAATCGTTCTTAATATTAAAGAATTGCAGAGCCCACACCACAGCTATAATGATTAAATCAAAGAGAAATGATAACGTTGGAATCTTTTCAGAAAGTTTTTTTCCAGCTGAATCAGAATCCATCCTGCTGTCACGAGCGGGAGAATTTAAAGTGGCAGACGTGCATGCACTTAGAATAAACAGACGATATCGTCTGCTGGTGTGTACGGTAATATAGTTATCTTTATAGTTATCATTCTTGGTGTGAATGGGCCTTAAGTCTGGAACATGGTAGATGGTTTTCTACTGGTCTAATCTGGATTTAGTTGGCTCAAACTGATTTTGGACAAGCAAGCAATCAGCTGCTCATACCAGCTTAAGGTGTTCAAGCTGGTTTTTGGAACATGGTAGCTCATCAACCAGCTATAATCCAGCTTAAACTGCATTTTCAAACAGGGAATACACATTTTCATGGTACTTTTTCATTTGAACTGTTAAACCATTAACAGAAACAGTCTCCAGAGAGATGTTGTGCTGGTCATAAGCTGGTCTGTCAGTATCTTCACCTCCACGTGTGTAAAGACGAGCGTCACCGGCTCTGACAGCTGCTTGGTTTCTGCATTACTGACGACGGCCGTCACCACTTTAGAGTTGAGTTGATAAGTGACGCTTCTCTCTTTATCGTCTGATCTCTCGCTGCTCATCTTGTGGAGCAGGTCACTGGATGAGTTCAGATCTTTATAACTGACCAGAGCCGCAAACGCAAAACCTGTGAACAAGAGAATATTTACATCTCGTCATGAAAGTGCGGATGGTTTCATTAGTACTAGAGGTCAACCGATGTATCGGTTTTGCCGATTAATCGGCACCGATAGTTGATTGCTGGAACTATCGTTTATCGACAAAAAATCCATGCCGATAGTTTTCCGGGTTGCGTCCATTGCTGGAGCGGCTGAGAAGGGTCTGCTGTCATTACACAGTGCGAGAGCGGCCTCTAGTCCTTTGTGTATATATTTAAAGATGTGCATCTTTAAGCACGACAGTTGAAATTAAGTAGCAACACTTTAAAATAAGAGTCCAGTTGTAGCATTAAGATGAATGAAAGCTGTGTAAGTATTGTTCCTTGTTAGAGTGTGTTAATTTCAACATTTACTATTACTAATATTATTATTTTTTTTACTACTACTACTAGTATGGTTCAGTACTGTTTTTGTTAATAAAGCGCTATTTTAGTTTTTGTTCAGTATCAATTTTAAAACTATCGGTTACTTAATCGGTATCGGCCAGTGTGGTCCAACCTAGCCATCGGTATCTGCAAAATCCACTATCGGCAAAATCCACTATCGGTCGACCTCTAATTAGTACATATATGTGCACGTGTTTATTTGTACCTGGATATGATTTCCCTATAACTGTTTCCCAGCTGGTGCTGAAGAGGGCGGAGCCTGTGCTCAGAGAGACACGCCCCCTGGGCGGAGTCTGATTCCGTGTGACTGCAACCTCAGCGACTGTCAATCACATGATCATACAGAACAACTGCTTTCAGTCTTAAACAACAATTACAAATGAATGAGTGTAAATCTGTGTTTATAATAAAATCTATTTTTCACAACAGTATGTCCATTCAGTAATCAGAGTTCCTGCAGGTTTTAGACTTTTAAAGACCTTTTTAAGAGCAAATAAAGAAAATCCAGTACAGATTTATAAAGATTCCTAAATCAACATACATTTACTTGCCAAGCAAAATGACTTTAGATAAGACAGTCTTGTTTCCTGAAAAACAGTTCAAAATGAAGTGAATTTATGGTTAAAACAAGAACAAATATTTATCAATGGGTTCAAAAAAATCAACTTAAATCAAAAGGAAGACAAGTTTAATTCCACATTGGCAGATATTTGTTCTCGTTTTAAACATAAACCCACATTTTCTCAGAAAACAAGACTTCATATCTTCCTTTTTGCTTCTAAAGTAAAGTATTTGATTTAAGAATGTTTAGATATTTGAGAATATTTGCTGTGGAATCAAGACTTTTAAAGACCCGCAGAAACTCTTGAACACTGTGTCTGAACTGTAATGTTTGTTGTTTCTCACAGGTGTTGTGTGTCTCCATCCTGGTCACAGGTTCTCTCAGCTGAGGTCCGATCAGACGCATGCTGCTCTCCACCGCGTCCAGAAACTGACTCAACATCTCGCCATCAGCGATGTTTCCATCCGACAGCAGCTCGTCAGAGGAAGTGAACACATTCTGTCAAACGCAGTGAGATTTAGAGGAATATTCCCGGTCAAACTGCTCTGTCAACACGCACAGAAATGCAGAAGAAAGAGGAAGAAGGCTGTTTGTTTCACCTTCAGTAACTGCTCTCCCGTCTGATGGCCGCCGTTTGGATCACGCAGAGACTCACAGCTGTTCCTCAACAGCGCCAGTAAATGCTTCAACTAGAAGACACACAGAAACCAAACTCTGATAACTGATTATTCACTGAGCTCTACCGAAATAATCACGAGGGGTCATTCTACCTTTACAGGCGCGTCCTCCGTGTCAGACACAAAGTGGTCGCAGCTCATCTCTGTGCACAGCAGCAAGACACAGTTAATTGTTTCGCACATTAACAGCTACACCATGAACACAGATACGCTCATGCAAACTGAACGCTCACCGATGCATTTTGACTGGTTGTTGCCATAGTTACTGTAACCCTGGTGGCATTTGCAGCTGTAGCCGCCTGGATTATTGTAGCAGGCTGCGTTTCTGCCACAAACATCTGGATCTGAACACTCATTGATGTCTGAAAGAGAAAGAAGATGTATGAATGCGGATTCCCATGACTATTTGTATTTAAAGGGGTCATATGATGCGATTTCAAGTTTTCCTTTCTCTTTGGAGTGTTACAAGCTGTTCGTGAATAGATAAGATCCCTAAAGTTGCAAAGACTAAAGTCTCAAACCCAAAGAGATATTCTTTATAAAAGTTAAGACTCGTCCACGCCCCCCTAAAATGCCTCGTTTAAACACGCCCCCACATATCTACATCACAATGTGGGAAGATTTGCATAACGTTATGTTTTTGTCTCGTCGCTCCGGCCGGACAGGGCATCATCACAGTATGGTGAGGGGCGCATGATTTTTGGCCCATATGTGAACACTTCGATCGAGCTCAGAGCGCTCAGAAGCGAAGCGAACAGAGACCACCTCGTACAGTTCGCTTTCGGCCAAATGTGAGTCTCTGCTTAGGCTGGTTTTAGCTTTTTTTCAGCAGGGTTGTGTTTAAACTGTCGAAAACACCCATGGTTCACATAAACACAGTTGGCTTTGTCAATATGTCGTTTTATTTTAAACATTTGATTATTCCATTTCTTACTTGAATGCTGCTTTTAAGGAAACCTACTGTACCTGGAAATTTTAAAGCAGTTTATTATGTTTTCTTTTATTTATTTTAATTGCCTTCTTTTTTTTTTCAATGTCATCAATGCCTTGTGCTACAAAATAAACATGATTGCATAAACAAGGAAAACAATTCAAAGTAAATATTATTTACAAAGGTCTACGAAACTTGTATGTCTGTGCAAAAGATAAACTTGTACAAATATTCCACGTTCAAAGGTAAACTCGCAATGTTGTTTCACAAAATAATAATTCTAACAACAATAATCTTTACATACAATTTCTGGGTTAGTGAGGCACATACATTGTAAGTGAATAGGATCAAATTTTGGAGACCATAGGGTCAGCCATCAAACACTGAACTGAACTGGATCCAAAAGCAACAGTCTGAACACAAAGAGGTCTGAGACTCCATAAGTGCTTAAGTGGACCAAAAAAAAGGATCCGAGTCCTCTTTCAGGAACAGGGACAGTGCGAACGTAAAGAAAACTGGGTCCTTTTTCACTTAAAGGGGTCTGGGTTCGGTTCTTTTAAAGAGGACTCAAGTGTGAAAACACCCTTAAATTGATCAAAGGTGAAAGTAAGGACCTTTATAATGTTACGAAAGATTCAAATAAATGCCGTTCTTTTGAACTTTCTATTCATCTGTGAATCCTGCAAAATAAAATGTATCACCGTTTCCACAGAAATATTGTGCAGCACAACTGTTTTCAACATTGATAATAATCAGAAATGTTTCTTGAGCAGCAAATCAGCGTATTAGAATGATTTCTGAAGGACTGCAGTAATGATGCTGAAAATACAGCTGCGTATCTGTAATGTGGTGTTTTGTTTCATGTTCATGTTTTCCATGTCTTTTATTTTGTAATTGTTTCATGATCCCTGTTTGTGTCATGCTTCCCTTGTCCTCGTGTATTCATGCCATTGGTTCCCCTGTTCATTGTGTCATGTTCTGATTGGTTGTCTTTGTCATGTGACCTGTATTGTTTGTTATAAGTAGCCATGATGTTGTCATTGTTCTTTGTCGTGTATTGAAGTTGTAACTCTGCTGTTGGTGAGTCTAGTCAGTTCATGTCAAGTCAAGTTTGGATTATTGTTTGGATCACCTTGTAAATAAACTGCACTTGGGTTCTCACTACGCTCACCTCCAGTGGATTGATCGTTACAGTATCACAGAAATAAATTACATTTGAACAGATATTAATAGCTATTAATAACATTTCACAATATTTCTGTTTTTACTTTATTTTTGATAAATAAATACAGCCTTTGTGAGTAGAAGAGACTTCTTTCAAAAACACTAAAACATCTCACTGACCCCAAACTTTTGACATGCATATAAAGATTATGATTAAAATGTAATTTAAAGAGCTGTTATAGTTGGACGTGACAGCAGACACACACAGCATGTTACGATAATTGTGATTAGCACCCAAACACACTGGAGTCAGTATCATTATTCATCATTAGTAGCAGGACAGATGCTCACCTGTACAGGTGTCGTTCTCATGTCTGTGAAACCCTGAAGAACAGATGCAGAGGAAACTGCCAGATGTGTTAAAGCAGCTGCTGTGAACTCCACACACTGAGGACACACACTCATCCACATCTGCAGTGGACACACACACACACAGACACATACACAGATACACACACACACACACACACAGATGAGTGTTTCATTTAGACACAAGCAGAAGTTCACACATAAAGTAGTTAAATGATAGCGGTTAGAGAGACGATGACAGCTGTCTTACGCTGGAAAACACATTTATCAGCTTCATGTGGAAACATCTAAGTGAACTTTGTTAATGATTGCATCAGCCAGACTACATGAGGTTATGTCAACAACTGTGTCTCTGTGCTTCTGGATGAAACCAGGACTTCCTAATCGACCGCTACTCGTTTTATAAATAGCAACTCGTACTGTTTTGCAAAGTTTCTTTTTGTATGAGAAACCTAAGATAATCTAAAACATTTGTCAAACATCAGAGCTCAATGCGTGAGACGCAACATGTCACAATGCAACTCAACTTGATCTATCTCCAGTGTGACGAATGAGCCATCCTTTCTATCAGATGTTTATACATGTTTTGCAAAGGCAAATGTAATGTTTTCATTCGCTAGGTGATAAATTAACGGTACCTGCATGCAAAGTCATATTGAAATCATGTGGAGAAGTAGCATACTGCAGTTTCATTGCTATTTCTTCCTCTGAGCTGGTGGCAAGAACTGTTTCTGTGAACTTATATTATATGCTTAAAAATGCTAAATGCATCACATGGATCTTGGATGGTTATAATCAGGGTCAGAAATTAACCGGGGCTTTGGGGGAAAGCCAACAAAAATGATAAAAATCCAGTTTTTATCCGTTGTTAATTTATTTAATTAAATTTTAATTTATGCATTTAGCAGATGCTTTTATCCAAAGCGACTTACAGTGCATTCAGGCTATACATTTTCTAATTCTACACTGTAAAAAATGATTGTAATTTTTACAGTAAAAGACTGTAAAAATGCTACAGTAAAAACCTGTTAACTGGTTAACAGTAAGTTTCCATACTATGTTCGGTGAATAAATGTAATTACATTGAATGTAATTTTACAGTAAAATACTGTTAAAAATACGTTTTTTGGAAGTGAAAAAGAAAAAGTCATTGTATAATTTACAGTGAAAAACTGTAAATTGACACTCCCAGAATTCCCTGCATGACACTTCATATTTGATGCTTTTTTGTTGAAATAACATGTTTTTTCTTTGTTTTTTTTCTTATCAGTTAAATCTAATGTTGTTAAATTAATGTTATTGCATTATTTCAGTATCGTGTGTCACCATGATGGAGTTTAGTGTGCATCTTCTAAACATAAGTATTGTCCTCCTCAGCTCGTAGAAAAACTGTTTGCGATGAGCTCTGGTTCATCGTGTGGCTTTCTCATCACCACCAGTTTTTGGTGGTTATCAGTGCATTACAATGGTTCAAAACAGATATTAGTACTTCAATATGTTGGTTTATTAACATTACATCAGTTAATGAAATACGATATTTTATTGTGAATTTAAGTTGTCTGTAAAACCTAAAATGTTGTTACCATATTTTTTACGGTGAAGTTCTGGCAACTACAGCTGCCGGTATTTTACCGTAAATGTCTTTTTTACTGTAAATGTCTTTTTTTTTTTTTTAAATACTTTTTTTTACAGTGTAGTTATCTAATACACATCTATTCTAGGCCTATTTAGTTATAGATTTAAACACAATTTTAACTAGATGACACTAATGGTAAACAAACCTCATTTCTGGAAGGCAAGCATTGACCTTTAATGAAAAAAGGTTTCATTTCTGAATTGTAATGATGTTCTTTGGTGAAATGAAAAGCACTATGAGTGAAGCAGCTCACCTTCACATCCTGAGTCTGCTGTTGTTTTATGAAATCCAGGTGGACAGATGCACGTGTAGGAGCCGATGGTGTTTGTACACTTCATATCACCTGAGCATTCATGTGTTTTCTCAATACACTCATTGATATCTGTTGGGGGAAGCAGCTGATATTAGTAACTGTATTTAAATCATAGTAGTGGACTCTTATGTCCCATAATTCTCTCTCGTACGATCAACACGTAGATAGAGTCGATCAACACCCCAAAGTTTGACAGTCATTAGTACTGCTTCATTGGTCGACATTTTATTCCATAACGTTGCACAGTTTTGATGCTGTTTTATGTCTGATGATCGTGTTAGATTACATGTGGAAGCATCTGTTGTTTCGGTTTCTTCTTCACTTGTGTTTTTTGGAAATGCTGTACAGAAGATGTGTACTAGTGCCCTCTACAGTATAACAATGAAAACACGGTTTCTAGGAGCACAATTCTAGCTAAAATATATTTAGTATAAGTCAAGTATACTTAAATGTCATTTTAAGTATATTTCTGAAAAGTACATAAAGCACATTTCTGAGAAGTACATAAAAAGTAGACTAAAAGTATACTTTCCTATTTTTAGTTTAAAAGAAGTATACTAATAGCACACTTGAATAAACGTCTTTTTCGTAAGGGTTGACATGTCTTTTCCAATGCATTGTAGATTCAAACGTTGCAGGACATGAGTGAATAAGATGTGATCTTCGCAGTGGTGAGGTTAACTTTTGAAACATCTCAAGAGGACATGTGGGGACTGTTTGCGTTTGCTTGATAGTCAAAAATATTTTATCTGCCTTATCTTGTGGATAATACGAGGTAAGTATTCAAAAAGTAGTCTAACAAACTTCTATAAAGTCTGAATATTGGTATTGAAAATGATGAAACGAGGGTTGAATACAGTTTTTAGATTCTTAACATGTAACGTACAGTACATGTATCGTTGGTTGCAGCTCATTGCAGTCTGCATGCAAACAAAGCACACTTTCACACATATACAAAACATTCATCTACCCACACATACCAATGACCTAAAACCATTGTGTATGTGTTTAGGAAACCACAGATGCGATTGAAAATGTCCCGTGCGTGCTGCAGCGAGTGCTGCAGCTGTTGTGTCGAGCGATTCTACGAACATTTCTCACAACTCTCAGAATAATCTGTTCATCTACTAAACGAGAAAGCGCTTCACACCATTTTCAGACTTTCTTTTTCTCGCCTACTGACTTTTAGTTTAACACAGAGCTACAGATGCAACGCACGATTTTCCACCCAGCACTCGCACTCAAGTCATGCAACTCTTTTTTGGTTAATGTTGCAATATTTATTTCAGTCTTACATGTCAGTGTCAAACCTACTGTCTAAAGTGTGAGTGTAGAAAACCCCTAAATAAAGTATAAGGTCAGTGAGCGGTTTTGTGTCATCCCTTGTAATATATATTTAGGTTTAATTTTGACTGTTGGTGGTGAAATATGCTGCAGTAACCCTTGATTTGCTTAGCCTGTGGAGTTTTTCAGCAGTGGTGAACTACTAAAACAAATCACATGGCCCTTCAGCTGTCAGATGTCTTACTTTCACGTGTCTGTATAAGCAAAACTTGCAGTGAAAAGGTAAAGTGGCATGTGTCAGGCAATCATGCGTGTGTGCGGTAGAGGTTTGAACTAAAGTGGACGTTCATCTCAACCATCTGTGGTTACACTGCCACACGTTTCACAGTAAGATTTGGTTAGCGTATTTAGTTGACTTCTAGATACAATTGTGCACTCTATACCACTAATCTCAACCCTCCCACATGACCTAAAGCATTCTTATATTTTCACTAAGACGTGTTTATTAAGATGTTTCCTCTTGGGAAATTAAGTTCAGCTTTTACTGTCCTTGTGGGGACATTTGGTTACATATAATTTAAGCAAACTGTGACCCACAAACATGGTGCAAAATGAACACCAAGTGTCAAATGAAGGTGAGGGTGCCCACACATTAGATTTTACACTGCATCAGAAAGCATTTCAGTCTGATGCTGACGAAAAACACAAGAGCTTGTGAAACTGAAGCTCCGTCATAAAAGTTGAGAAAGCTTTAACTGTGCTGCACCACATTCTCACAGAGCTGCGCTGATCATTGAGAATTACAGAGAAGCGCTTTTGCTTGAAGAACTTTTAATATTCTTGGAACCTTTCAATTGGCAAAAAAAAGGTTCTTTCAGTTTAGGTTTTTAAAATGTTCTTCAAAAATGGTTCTTTGAAGAACTGTTCACTGAAAGTTTCTTTGGGAAACCCAGAATGGTTCTTCTTTGGCATTGGTGTAAAAACCCCCATTTTGGAAGCTTTATATTTAAGAGTGTACAATATTCTAGTCTAAAGTAAAATTGTGGATTTTGAGAGTAATTTCACTGAATTATGGACGAAGAAAGACATCTAAAAGGTAACTGTTTTCTCAAAATGACAAGTTAAAGAAACTGGACGTGATGTAGTAGATTTCATTCACCCAGCCTGTTTTTGAATGTAAATGACATTGTTTAAATAAATCCATGAATTAGAACATTTTGTGGAATGGAAAGGCTCGATGTTTAAAGGTTCTTCGTGGAACCACCGATGCCAAAAGAGACTGTTTTGATGTAGTTTCTTATCTTACAGTCCTCTGGTGTCTGTGTTTTGTCTAAGAAAGAGACTCTTCGTTATGATTCAGTGATGTGAAGAACATGTGGGACGTCTGTCTGGTTTCATGGAGAAACGCTTAAAGAATAGAGTCCTTGTTTAACACACACACACACACACCCTTATATCCTCATGTCTGACACACATATGCTCAAATGACCAGTCCAGTCTAGTTAACACACACAAACACCTACTCACCCAAAAGAAGTGCCCACTTCAGCTCCATGTTAGGAAACACCGTAACTGCTGTCAGTCTGTTTATGCTTTGGTTTATGATAAAGACAATCTGTTTTCCAGTAAGTCCTCAGAGATTCCCGTCACTGTCTTCCACTTTATATCCTTCAGGACTCTTGAGCGGTTTGAAATCCTAAGTGAATGTGGTCTCCTCCTCAGCTCTTCTCTGTCTAGTTCTCTGATTAGAAGCTCTTTTAAAATAGATTTCTGTTTTTTGTTTAATTTCCAGTCAGTTTCCCAGATGATTCCTTCTTGGGACCTTCTCGTCTTTCACTCTTGGTTCTGCTCTGTTTGTCGTAATCCACGCGGTCGGAGAGTTTCCACTATTGTGTGCTGCTACTGGGCGAGAAGTCAGCAGCTATTCGTGGCCGACACTCCCCCTGGAGAGAGAGAGAGAGAGGGAGAGAGAGAGAGAGAGAGAGGGAGAG